TGTACCAATTCCCCACCTAATTTCTACATACAGTAACTTAATTTCTATTAAAAATTAGGGGAGCACCAGTTATGCCAGATTTTCTTGCATGTATGCTAAGTTCTGAATTAAAAGGGCACTGATGAAGAATAACTCAACCTACCACACTACACTACCACCTAATTAAGGTAAATGAAACCCACAAAGAACTAACACCACTGGGTTGACATTTTTTCTTTCTCTCCACCTCAGAGGGAGAAAAGAGTTGACTGATACTGCAAAGTTGACGGTAAGATCACATGCAATAACAGGACCACTCAGGTAAGATAATGCAGCACAACACCACAAAGGTCAACACAGGTTGCTGATATACTGAGCAGAGATTTTGTCATGCGCCCCGAGAAAGGAAATAAGTCCTTCCCCCTTCCATCCCACAACAAAGATTTAGGAAGCAGGATAGCAATCAACCCTCTATAGGAAGTTGAAAAATTAATCAGGTAGTTGGGTTAGTGCTGATTTTTCCATGCTTTAGTGGCAACGTTGCTTGCTAGTTGAGAACTAGTTTGGTTTATGCCTACCTAAAATGAACTCACAGGAAATAAAGATGCTCCCTTCAATCTTTTTTTTTTTTTTTTTTTTTTTTTTTTTTTTTTTAAAAAGTATGTTTGTTTTGTATGGATTTTAGTAAATAGGCTTATCTTTTTACTGGAAAAAAAACAAAAACAAAAACAGGAGGGCGCCCTGATGCTTGAAGAGCAAGCTACAAAGACTTCCTATTAGGAAACAATAATACAGTAGAAAGCTGATAGGAAGATGATGACAGACTGATTTCAGTTGGTAACTGATGATAGGCAATGGCTCTAACTGATCTAGCAAAGCTTATTTCTGTTAGCACATGAGCTCCATGTATATGACAGAAAAAACACTAAATGAAAGCAGCCAAAATTATTTTTGGAAGAAAAAGATTTCAGTTTCCTTTAATGTTATTTAAAATCACAGAGCAGTAAGTGAGGAATAAATTCATCTTATAATTCTTCTCTGGGTCAGTATGACAAAAAATGAAATCCCACCAAATGCAGGGTACTTTTTTTTTTTTTTTTTTACTAAAGCAACAGTTCCAAGAGAACATAGAAAAGCACTCCACATGGGGGGGAAAACAAAACCCAACATTTTCCACTCTTACCTTACCCATTAAAACATTTTCTTCCTTACAAACTTTTTTTTTTTTTTTAAATAAAAACATTACCAGTGTAGAAGAAAACATTTCCTACATGGTCTTTCAAACTACGTTTACCATTTCCATCAGTGTTACACAGCACTGTTCAAATTCCTCAGGGAGGAGCTGAGCTCAGGCAGGTCCCAGTGCCACACAGCACCTTCAGCAGGCACAGGTAATGTTGCTTCATAAGCAACAGCGACGTCCTTGGGGCTGTCTATGACAGAGCCTGCTTTACAGCTGTGGGAAACCTGAAAGTATCTGATAAGGTACAATGACAAATCATGAAATCACGTCATGAAAGCCAAGAAAAAAGAAACTGAGCAACTAACACTAAACTGAAGTGTTTCATGAAAATAAACGTTTGAATATTTCAAAAAATTCACTGAAGACTCATAAACTGCAGCTAAGCTCAAAAGAGCACACAGACTCCTATCCAAGTAGTTTGCAACAAAAGGTCTAAAAAAGCCCACCCTGCTCCCAATTCCCAGAGTCACATCTCAAGATGAACGTGACAATTTTTATTTCTTTATTTATTTTGAAGTCAACAGCTAAAGGTATCTTAACTGTTGTGTCAGTGGTCACAACTGTGCTTTTTTCATTATATTCTTGGCCCTCAATTGCTGCCCTTTACCAATGAATGAATCAGAGCTAGACTGTGAAGGAGGTAAGTTGGAAAATGGATAAATCTATCAAAACCACCTGCTCGTTATTTCTTTGTAGCAGGAGAAATTTCTTTTTGCCTTAAGACAAGTTGCGGTGACTGTGGATACTATTGTTTGAAGCTTGTACAGCTACTGAACAATGGAAACAAAGTATGTTAAAGCACACTAAAACTAAACCACATTGCATTAAATTGCTATATTTAAACTGTTAATATAATGCTATTGTTAAAACAGACAGTCATCTGAGATGGCTCAACACTATCAGTGTCAGAAATTAAATGCAAGAAAATCTATTTAATCAAAACATTATGTTTTATATAATAAATTAATCATTCACTTGGCTTTCAACTGCCTTTGAACAAAGTGTTTCATGACACAGCTTTACCTTCTATACAGTTTCAATTCATAAATGCTTTTAACCAAGTAGACTAATTGCACCTTACCAACTGAAACACAAATACTTCCCAGTGCAAGCTCTGGAAAGGATTCATGTGACTGAATAAAATAAATTTGCTCTTAAATGCTACATTTAAAGATGCGACAATAAAGCTGTTATCAGTGAAATACCTGCGTTTAAAATGTTAATTACCAAAAAATGAACCGTGTATGCCTATTTTCCACATTTTCAATCAGTAGATCATTTACACATCGAGTCTGAAACAAAAGAGCAGTATCTGGAAGGAAGAAATTGTATTGTAAAACAGTATTATGCTTGTAATAAAGTAAATGCATGGTTCCATACACATTTTAGAGCTACAGTACTTTACATTTTTTATTTAACCAAGTATTGCATAGTAGAAAAGGAAGGGAAAAAAGAAAACCAACTGTTGAAAAGAAGTTGTATTAAAAGATAGTGCTGATCTTCTGGGTATACTGTGAGTGCTTATAACTTAGTACCAATGCCTAAAGACAAGGTTACAGAGAGCAAAACC